CATGTAAAACATGTAGGACTGCGGCCCTCCAGGACCAGGACCACCCCTGCACCATGTCCAACTGATCTTAACTATAACACATCACTTTTACAGGGCTGGTGCTGGAATCTGAGGTGAGCTAAGATCATTTTCTTCTTCTAATGGCAAATTAGAGCTTGATGTAGTTTATTATAGTTGTGGTGCAAATAAATTGAAAAGCTATTTGCACGTGTTTGATTTGATGATCCTGCCCACATGGAGGTGGCTCTCTGCTCAACACAAACACAACCAGGCCTGGCTGATGGCCTGACAATAAAACAACGCCTGCTTTTAACCGTGCTTGTGTTTGCTTTGAGGAGAAGGCTGTCTTTAGTTTTATTAGTGACACATGAAAAGATGACATGAAGCTCAAAGAAAAGTCTCTGTGTTCCTGAAATCGTCTTGACCTTAAGGGTTAATTCAAACGTTCAGAGACTGAGTTAGAATCCAGGTCAGACTCTTGGTCTTACACTGCAGGAAGACCATCAAACTACACAGAAAAAAGGGTCAAATTTATTATTTCAATTACAAAAAATGAGCGTTTTATTGTTTWAAAATGATTTAATATGTTTTCTAAATGTTCAGAGGCTTGAGGAGTAGTGTGTTACAACACAGAAATGTGACACCAAGTCAAACATTTTTAAGTTTACACAGAAATAATAAAACCTCCGAGCCTTTTAGTCCCAGAATAAAGATTTCAATGCCCGGCTGTTTGAGTCCTCTGTAGAGCTTGACTTGGACTTGAATGGGACTCGCTGCCTCTTTTGTCTGCCTCTGACAACAGTTTGTGTTGTTCAAGCAGAATCTCAGCAGACACACTACTGTCACTGCCAGCAGCTTGTCAGGACCTGAGAGAGGATCTGAGGATCAGTTTGATTCACTAAATCAAAGACTTCCTCTGGTTTGGTTCAGTCTCATTTACACTAAAAGACTAAACTTGTTACGATAAAGTACAGTTTGAAGACATAAAGCTGTTTATTCTCTGTACACAGACTGAGGGGCTGAATAAGCTCTGATTAAAGCTTTAATATTTGGATAGTGTCRCACGAAGCAAAAGAACGGACCTTTCCTGTCTTTGGCTGTTTCTATGAATTTTTTCCCACAAAGTGTTTTTTTACTCATGCCTGAAAACTTTCAGCTTATTGAGGAAATTAGTGCTTTATCTCCTGTTTTTAACATTTATTTACTTAAAGTGTCAATATCATGTAAACTCAACTTTTTAGAGTTTTATATCATGTTATAATGTTATACTCTGATAAAAACATGTCCAAAGCCTTGCTCTGACTCATTCATCATGTTTGAGAAATCCTGCAGTGTTTTTATGAAGCCATGCTGAGGAGCAAAACGACAGGTGGGGACCAGAAACACCTTTTGGTACCAGAAACACCTTTTGGGACCAGAAACAACTTTTGGGACCAGAAACACCTTTTGGTACCAGAAACACCTCTGGGACGTGTCTTTAAGATGAACTTCCTCATGGCAGAGCGCACCCCCTCCCCGCTCCCCACACACCCCGCCCATGACTCCTGCAGGCTTTCGGGTGAAACTGAAAGTGAAACCTAACTGTCTGCTGAGCTCTCTAATGCACACTATTGTGATTCGTTTCCCATCCAAGTCATCTCAACTTTGCCATGCTTCTCCTCCTTCATACTTTGTCCTAGAGCTGCCATTGTAATTTATATCTGTAAAGCTCCTGTGCCAAATGATGGCTATGCCTTTTGGTGCCTGTAAAACTTATAGTTTTTGAAATATTAATGTTTAATAAATTATAATGGGAGTCAATGGAGGTTGTATTGGCCCAATACTGCCCCCTCCTGTATCTACTCAGTATGGAACTGCACCATAGTTTAATAATTATATTT